CCATGCCGAAGCCTATCACAAGGAGTCAAGCACGCATACACTACACACATGGAGGCACGTCCTTATATGACATTAGTCGTTAATAGGACGTTCAACAAAATTTAACCAAATGTCCTTTGTACACTGAAGTGTCAGGCGGCAACCGTTTGGGCAACACCAGCCTGAATCATTTTAACTGCTTCGGGTTGTTTAGTATTTAAAGTTTCATTTTGAAGAAAAAATACTTTTTATATTTTATTTTTATGAACGCATATTTGTTATTCAACAATGTTACTTGCATGTATTATATTCTCTGTTTCTCTTGTTCAGGCTTACTGGCCCCTCGACACATGAACGTCTGTGACCTATTTCCATTGATCAAAAGAGCATTCGACAAGCAGATATTTTCTGGAAGCTGTTTAATTTTATCAAATAAAGTTATTACGCGAGATTTGCAGGATATGCATATACTGCATTAATTTCAAACCCGTACACAATAACACTAAACGCCACGTCGGTGTCGTTGTGTTGGACAGAACACTTATTGTTACAGGATACCGTAATGAAGCTATACATTTCACCGTCAGCATCAGGAAAACTCACTGATCCAACATTGGACAAGTCCGTCCCGTAAACGGTGCGGAGCTGTAGACCGGACTGGTTAATGGTCTGGATACTGACCACAATGTAGTTATCGTACACAAAGGATGTAGGAGTCGAGACCAGCACGGGTTCATTGGAGAACTGGTTAATTGATGGCACCAATGTCATTTCAACTGTTCTCTCATAAATTGATAGTAGCACGAGCACAGGGTGATCACTAGAAATGGCGTAAGGTTGAGTCGAGTTCGTGTTTATATCTACGTGGGTAGATACTGAGTAAGTTTTGTTCGAGGTATCAGAGATGACAACGACATTCGTATTGCTTACGGATGAGATTATCCTGATGATACAACTGATGCTTCTAGTAATAGGTGGTACCATAAACCTGGTACCCCACTTTGACACAGGAGGTAGGTACTCCACAAGATGATTACAACCTCCGTATCCGTATGAACAAAGATTACCAGACACTACCACTACAGGCTTATCACTTAAAATATGCGTACCTGTCAGGTCTTGATTTAATGTGTTTGTTTCAATATAGAACGTGTCCAGTTTATCCAGAACGACGGTGATTTTGTCTCCCTCCCTGTGAAACTGACCGGGAACAGAAATACCAGAAGTACTGAGTGTAATATTGACCACTGTATTGTCGTACGGCGCTCCTACAGCAAACGAAGTTCCATACGTCTCAAAGAGCGCATAATTTGGTCTGGCTGTTCCAACGATATAATTGACACCAAGACTTTCTACTGGTAAAGCAAGGTATCCACCCGAGGCTGATGAGAAATATAGGTTGAACGCAGTGACGGACACTGGTGAGTCAGATGTTAGAATGACCCCTTTGCTCGCCCTCCCATTTTCTCTCATTGT